CTGACTGCTATTCAATCTTATACAGTGAAAAAAGATTATTTTTTTTTTTAAATCCAAACTATTGTGACACAGGATCTAATTAGTGGCACTTGTCAGCGTATCCACTGTTAGCGTAACACACCCGCTTTAAGGACACTGACTGCTATTCAATCTATAACAGTAAAAAAAGTTTTTTGTTTTTAAACCCAAACTATTGTGACACAGGATCTAATTAGTGGCACTTGTCAGCGTATCCACTGTTAGCGTAACACACCCGCTTTAAGGACACTGACTACAGCCCCACCGTTTATAACAGCAAAAAGTTTTGTTTCGTAAATCCAAGCTTATTGCGGCTAGTATCTTAATTATGGTACCCTGTCAGCTTGATCCACCGTTGTGAAGGAAATGTACACCTACAATTGACTGCTATTCAACTTTAAGCAATAAGTGAAGCGGTTCGCTTTTTAAATCCAAGCTTTGGTGTCACCGATCTTAATTGGTGGCACTGGTCACCGCGTTCACCGTTAGCTTTAACACACCCGCTTAAGGACACTGACTGGCGGTCAATCTATAAATAAGTGAAAAAGATAATTTTTCTTTAAATCCAAACTATTATTGTGACACCAGATCTAATTAGTGCTACCAGTCAGCTTACCCGTTATAAAGGCAGAATACACCCGCTAAGGTGTAATAATTGACTGCTATTCAATCTATAAGAAAAAGTTTTCCTTTTTAAATCCAAGCTTTGTGTCACCAGATCTAATTGGTGGCACTTGTCAGCGTATCCACTGTTAGCGTAACACACCCGCTTTAAGGACACTGACTGCTATTCAATCTATAACAGTGAAAAAAGATTTTTTTTTTAAATCCAAACTATTGTGACACCAGATCTAATTAGTGGCACTTGTCAGCGTATCCACTGTTAGCGTAACACACCCGCTTTAAGGACACTGACTGCTATTCAATCTATAACAGTGAAAAAAGTGTTTTTTGTTTTTAAATCCAAGCTATTGTGACACCAGATGTAATTGGTGGCACCGACTGGGGAAATGGGCACAGTATGCACTGTGAGCCTGACACAGAAGCTGGCAGCAGTGGCAGACAACTGACTGCTATTCAATCTATAACAGTGAAAAAGTTTTTTGTTTTTAAATCCAAGCCATTGTGACACCAGATGTAATTGGTGGCACTGACTGGGGAAATGGGCACAGTATGCACTGTGAGCCTGACACAGAAGCTGGCAGCAGTGGCAGACAACTGACTGCTATTCAATCTATAACAGTGAAAAAAGTGTTTTTTGTTTTTAAATTCAAGCTATTGTGACACCAGATGTAATTGGTGGCACTGACTGGGGAAATGGGCACAGTATGCACTGTGAGCCTGACACAGAAGCTGGCAGCAGTGGCAGACAACTGACTGCTATTCAATCTATAACAGTGAAAAAAGTTTTTTTTTTTAAATGCAAGCTATTGTGACACCAGATGTAAGTGGTGGCACTGACTGGGAAATGGGCACAGTATCCACTGTGAGCCTGACACAGAAGCTGGCAGCAGTGGCAGACAACTGACTGCTATTCAATCTATAACAGTGAAAAAAGTTTTTTGTTTTTAAATCCAAGCTATTGTGACACCAGATGTAATTGGTGGCACTGACTGGGGAAATGGGCACTGTGAGCCTGACACAGAAGCTGGCAGCAGTGGCAGACAACTAAGTGCATTTACATTACATAGAAAAAAAAAATCAAAAAAAGCATACCCTTATCCCTAACCTAGCTATGCTTTTCCCTATCTTATGAACAGCAGCTACACTTTCCCTCCTCTTACTAAGCATGCAGCTTGAGAATGAATCTAAAATGGATGCTGTCCAGTAGGTGGGAGGGTCTGCTATGGAGGCTGTGCTGCTAATTGGCTGGAATGTGTCTGCTGACTGTGAGGTACAGGGTCAAAGTTTACTCAATGATGACGAATAGGGGGCGGGTCGAACCGCGC